TTTACCTGTGTCTGAACTTAATGGTATGGATTTCCTAGGATTGTTTTATTGAGAAAGACTATCTCCCTCTGTGCACACAAGTTTATTCATATCTGTCAACCAATTTGTCTCAATTTTCAGTTTAGAAAAATGGTCACCACAGGCATACAACCTCTAAGTAAAATGTGAGCCAGTCTCTCCTCCCAGGGTTGCACATCTGGTTGACACTTCACATACAAATAAGATAGCAGACACTCCCAAAGTGAGGACTGTCACAGAACAGACACATAAGGTCGAACAAACATTTGATACCTGGGTCATGAGCCCACGCTGTGCATCGGCGAGCAGAGAATCAATCATTACATTGTAGATGGGAATTTGGATCAAATCATATGGGGGTCAACTAATAGGATGGCACATGGAGAGAGGTCTTAGGAAGATTTTAAGCCAAGGCATTTACAAGTAAGCATGCAATTTGTGTTTTGATTTTTAAATAGGACGCTTTCAGCAATGGATTTCAAAGTAGCGCAATGGCAATACAGTGTTTTTGTCACTGTGAAAAATAGTCTTATTTAACAATGAACACAGATATCTAGGTAAACAATGCCCACTTAAGATAGAGCTAACGAGGCATTTACTGACCATGTGAATATTTAAAGAGCTGGAAGGAAAAGTCTTTTATTCTTGGAGTTTAGGTACACAAAGTACTCTGTGAAGCTGTTAAGATCAGTGTCCGAAGTACCTTCCATTATCATCATCTCCTCTCCTGTGTGTGTCCTCAGATGGGTATCATGCATTACAAATTATTGGTGGATGAGTAGAGAGAAACAATGGGACATAATGTTCTAATTTGGAAAATTATATCCAGAATCTGTACACAGAATCTTGGAAAATGATCTCCATTCAAATATTAAAAGTACTCTGAGTCCTTACAAGAAATGCTCATAATCATTAGGAAACTTGCCAGCTTCTGTGAAGTATGACAGCACATCTACAGAGGGTAAATAACCATCAGTGGAACTTTAATAATTAGAGGGCTTTATTTTTCAAAGCATCACTCTGAAATGCTGAGCCACCCCTGGAGGGCCACTGTAAGACCTGAAAAAAGGTTAGAATCATCTTTATTTAGGCACTGCATACAAGGAAGAAAAAAACTGCTTCATGCACATGCACATGCATGAGATGCCACCAAACAAAAGGGTCCTATAAACAAGAGGTGGTAAAAGTGAAGTTTCAAACACACAGTGCCATTCACGCCGTAGCCAAGCTCCAGGGTTGAGTTGGCTGCAGTGTTGAGTTTCTTTTCTGAAAAGAAACTTACCGTTAGCAAAAAAGGCTTGAAATTCTAAAAAGTCACAATTTTCCTCCGAACCAGAGTCACTAAAACAATGCAACTCTTAGCTGCTTACACAATGTGTTCCCTTTGGGCTGGTGGCGTGAAAATGGACTTGCACAATTTCCCCAGGGAGAAAAATAAAACATGCTCGTAGCTTTAACTATCAGTAGGACTAAAGTGTTTCTTTAGATTTTAAGTAAATGTACCTCTACACCTAAAGGCCAGATGTGTAACTGTTAATACTCCTGTCAATCAAAGACAAAAGAGCAAAGGTGACTGCTCTGTTGTTTTTATATTTGTCTCTTTTATTTGTATTTTTCACAAAACTGATAGACTATCTTTCATTGTTTGCAGGATATCATGATGAATGTTCAAATAATTAAGAGTAAAAAAGGATGCCAAATCTTAATGTTTTGGGGTACAGCCCACATCTGGGACTGTCAAAGAGTTTTTGTATTGAGGTGTGGTTTACTGATAAGGAATTGGTAAACAACCAATTTATATATATAAATTGAAATTGATTTGTATATATAAATTTATATACAATCTTTTACTAGTTTCAAAGAGGTTAAATGGACCAGTGACTATTTGAAAAGCTGTATATATCAACAAGTTTCAATGCTTTATTGAATAAGCTCCCTTAAATAATATACAGGAGAGTCCTTTAATATTTTTTTATTGAAGTGTCATTGATACATAATCTTATATTAGTTTCAAGTATATAACACCGTGGTTCAACAGTTACCCATGTTATTAAATCCTCACCCCCACTAGTGAGGTTACTAGTGACAGAGTGACAGAGGTTACTATCTGTCAACATAGGAAGATGTTACAGAATCATTGGCTCTATTCTCCATGGAGAGCCATTTAATATTGCATTTCACTTTATAAAGAGCACTGCTGCCATAAAATTGTGGGTGTGAATCAGATGAAATTAATTTAAATGTCAACGTATCTTCCAATAATGATAGATAGTAAAGTGATGTGAAGGGTACTGAGACAAATGTTGTTTGTAAGGAAATAATCATAGGTGATATCATGTTAGGTGGAAAACAGTAAGTTGTTTGGTGGAGCCTAGGTTACCAAATGCCCTCATACACATATTTATGTAATTTTCTCACAATTTTACATACACAAATTTACGTAATTTGCTTACAAAAACCCTTTGGAGTATAGAATTTATGTTTTGTAGATTATAGATTATGAATTTCTCAAAACCCGTAGCATCTCTTGCAGAATCAGCAAAAGGGAGCAGGATGTGCTGAATGGTAGGAAAGACATCAGGTGTTTGGATAGCAACACAGATTCTAGGAAGAGAAGAGTTCTTTACAGATGCCTTACTCAGTGATAAATACTAGAAGTAGCCTGCACATAGTTCAAGGCTCTTAACATCTGTATATGCACGTATTTACTCATTTCTGTTTATCAGGTCTGGTCTGTGGCAGGCGCCGATTTTGTGCTTTAATATCTGAAGGTGATCTAACATCCTAGAGCTACAGGCTCATTCCAGGCACGTAATCCTCCTGACGGTCCCTTGCACCTGCCAAGCCTTAATGTCTGCCATTCTGTGTCCTCTGCCTGAGACACTGTTTCACCAGATATCCATAGAGCTTACTGTAGAATTAATTATTCCATGTCCCTCTTCACTTCCCTGACCACCAGAATAACCAAAACCCCTACTCATCCCCTTATCTTGCCTGAATTTTCTTTTATAGTCTACTAATCACCTCATAACCCCCCAATTACTTATGTGTCAAAAGGCTACTTATTTGCCTCAAAAAATACCACACTTATTGCTACCGAGTTAACTAGCAGTGTCTGACTCACAATGGCAGCTCCCTAAATATGTTTTAATAAATCAATGAATTGCATGGCCATTTCTGAATGTTCATGCTGGTGATGAACATTAAGAAGCCATTTAAAATTTTCCACTTAAAGGGAAAGTTGTTTTTTTTCTTTTTCCAAGAGAGTCGATTGACTGCCACATGGGAGTTTGGGGAAGGTGCACTGGGCGCTTTCACATATTTAGGAAAACAGACTCTTTAGTAGCCAGAAATTGCCCCGCTTACTAGTTTTAGCTGAAGAGTTAATAATCTCTGTATTTTTTGTATCCCTATTTTCTCCAGACTATAAATGATATGAAACAATAAGAGTTTGTTATTTTAGACTGTTGACAAAACTACCTCCTTCTTAAAATAGGAAAGAGGTGGAATGGACCAGGGACTATTTGAAAAGCTAAGCAGTGCGATGCATGCACAAAATTGTGGTGACAATTTCCTGTTGCCCATCTATAAAGCAAGGAGAAGAATAACCTGATCTACCCCAACAAGGTATTTTGTGAATCATTAACTTGTGAAACAGTTCATTTTAATGAAGCCGCTTTTGGCATAGTCTTGTCAAAATACCCTGGTTAATTACATAAATTCACCTTTTGGCTTTTTTTGGTCACTGAGTTAATGTGAGCAACAGACATCCCTTTGTCTTATTTTTCTATTGTTTGAAATTTTCTTTTTAAAGTAACAAGTATTACACTGTTTTAAGTCTATTTTAGCCTGATCGCTGGGATATGGGGATCGCCTTCACTGTGGACAGTTATCAATGTGCTAACAGCTTTCTGCCTCTAAGAGAGCTTCCACTTTCCCCTCGCCCTCTACCCTACACTCCCTGGTCAGCCTATGCACTGGGGAGTCTTTACTGTAAAAATTATTTGCTGCCACAGCCCCTGAGACTGCTTATCTTTCTTGATAATTCCCTTTATCAAATGAGGGAAGTAGCCCATCCAGAGATTGGAATCTCTCTAGTCTTCTTCCAATCACAAAGGTAATTCAAAGTTGACCCCCAGGAAGACAAAACTGGCAATCCTGTCTTTGTTTTTCCATTGCCTATATCTTAGCACATCTATCACACAGTATATCTGTGTTGGAAGAATGATTGAATGAATGAAATAAATAAAAGGGACTCATCCTGTAGCTTTAATGTTGCTGACTTACTACAGTGTGGTTTGATACACGTGTTTAGCAGAAAATTCTGAAGGGGAAAATGGGGGCTGTAACATCTTACTAAACAATGGAGAAGCTTATCGAACACAAAACATCATAGCAACTTTATATTATACTATGGGGAGCATTTAACTGAATAGGCTGTATGTTAGTTTTGCCCATGACAACTATAATACTTGAAAATAGATTATTATTATGTTTCAAACCTTGTCAACACAGAAATACATTTCTGAATAGATTTCTTTTTGGATGACAGATACCTTCCACCCCTTTCCAATTTATTCTGCAGAAAATATTAAGCCATCCTCATTAACATTTAATTTTTCCTCTTTTGGGGAAAATAACATAAATTGGGAAAGCCATCTAATTTAACTGCAGAAAGAATTTAGTGGGATAAGAGCCCAAAAAGAAGAACATAGTTAGAGAACCAATTCAAAGTCTCACAAAGTAGGAAAGGTTTTTTTTTTGAAGGTTAAATAAAACTTTATTTAGAAAGTCTAAAATGATTGTATGGTAATTTGAACAACTAGGCTGTATAAGAAATGACTTGAAAATCCTCTTTTGATATCCATGAAGGGTTAGATTCCATTATAAGTGCTTTGTTCTTCAGACCTGGAAAAAAAAACAAACCTGATTTTTTGACAAGTGGTTTATTCCCCCCTTTCCCAGATTCAACAATCCTTCTGATCCCTCAGATAGTTTCTTCTGGAACAAACTTTCCTCCTCTCCCAGGCAGTCCCCATGGGTCTACCTTTACTGGCTGTGGGGCTAGAACAGGAGGTAAGATGTGTGAATTTTTCTTCACTGGGATTTGCTTGTTTTTAGTGTTAATTTTAAGAGCATCACATAATGGTTAAGAGCATGGAGGCTGCAATAGGCTTCTGTGCATATCCCAAATTAGGATCCTGACTGCTGTTAACCAGAGACAGGAATTTGAGCACGTTTCTCAAACTTCTTCACCTGTCATTGGGTTTACATCCAAATGACTTATTCCAAGAAATAATTCTTTGGGTATTCAGAATATGATCTGCATAGAATACACATTCAAGAGCAAATGTTAGTAGTGCTATTAATAAAAGAATTATCCATTGGAGTAGAAATCTGTACCCTTTGGGTGGAGAAGAGGTATATATTTCTAACAAAACAATGATTGATTGTTATGCTATGACCAAGGGTCATGGCAGGAGCACATGAAAAGTGGAATGTGCACTAATGGTGACTTTCATTTGTAGGATGGGGATGCTTTTAAAATGTTATTCAGGAAGTGAAAATATCAAATAAGTAAGGACCCACTGTAGTAACTTTTTGTACCCACAAACAATGCAGTTGTGGTAAGGGTTTTTGACAACACCTCATATCATTTTCCCATTCCATTGGCCCAAATCTTTATTTCGTCAGCCCTGGATTATAAATATTTCCTTTAAAATAGTCTCCTGTCTCTGGACTCTGACCATCAATTCTATTATGATCATCAATTTGCAAATAAATCTTCAGAAAGCACTGTTTTAAGAGTGTTGCTCTTGGGCTCCAAAGGCTTCATTAATTTCTCAACTGCCTATATACTAAAGCTCAAGTTTTTTAAGTTTCACCAAAAAGCCCTGCATCAGCCCCAATCTCCATTTTTAGTTTCTGCCTTTATTTACTATCCTTCATAAAACAAAGTTACAGCTAATATGAATTCTCTAGATATCTCATCATTCCATTCCATCACGTATCATATACACACTGCCTTATATAACTAGTCATTTAGATTGTGTCCCATACACTTCTTGAATTGGATAATATATGTACTATTTGAATTTCATGAAATACCTAATAGAATGCTTTGCATAAAACATGTGCTCAGTCAGTGTTTTTAAGACAATGGCAAAACCTATACTCAACTTCAGGTCTGAAGGTCCTTGAACCAGGGATTATAGGCAGGTTAGACAAAAATAAGTCATCTCCCACTCTTCTCTCTTTCTCATCTTCACTGCACATAGTAAGCATTTTTCTTCTTCTTTTAGTGTATTTTTTAATTGAAATATCGTTGATATACAATCTTATATTGGTTTCGAGTATACAACACAGTGATTCAACAGTTACACACATTAAATCCTCACCCCCCCCAGTGCAGTTACTGTCAACACAGGAAGATGTTGCAGAGTCATGGGCTGTATTCTCCGTGCTGTATTACCATCCCCGTGACCAACCTATATTATGACTGAGAATTTTTGTGTCCCTTTATCTCCCCATCGTCCCCACCCTCTTCCCCAGCCCCTCCCCCACCATGATAACCACCAGTCACTTTTCAGTGTAAGTCTGTTGCTGTTTTGTTCATTTTGTTCTGTGTTTTAGATTACACATATAAGTGAAATCATATGGTATTGGTCTTTCTCTGACTGGCTTATTTCACTCAACATAACATGCTCTGGGTCCTTCCATGTTGTCACAAATGGCATTTTTCTTAAATATACTTTAACGACTGCATTATTTTCTTTTTTTTTCTCACCTCCTTGGCCTTTGCAAAGTTCCCATCCTCCTTCATCTGGAGCCTTCTCTTTGGTGTACCTTTTTCCCAATCAGTCTACTGCATTCCATCTTGCTCACTGCTTCCAGAATGACGGTGCCCATGCTCTGCCCTAAACATTCTGCAAGGGTTTCTCACCGCATGGGGCACAGAACCCAAACTCTCTCACAGGATACTCAAAGCTCAGAGGTTCTTAACTTTATCCACCTTTACCCATATTTTACATTCTATCTTTCTACTGGGTGGAACTCTATTACTTGCAGTGTTGTAATACTATATTATTTCATGAGTTCTTGTCTTTGCCCTCATGGCAGTCAGATCCCAGGGGAACCCCAATAATTCCCAACCTCTGGCAGCCACATATCTGCATAATCCCTGTCTCTGGATTGTGGGTGGTGATTTGCTTCCAGTCAATAGAGTATTGCAAAGGTGGTGGGACATCACTCCTGTGACAAGGTTACATTTCACAGTAAAAGTAAAAATATTTTGCAGATGTAGTTAAGGTCTCATATCAGTTTGAGTTAATAAAAAGGGAGTTTATGTCAAGTGGGCCTGACATAAGGCTAAAAGCCCTTAAAAGGGAGAGATTCCCTTGCTGGCCTTGTAGAGGCAAACATGATGTTTGAAATGCCCGTAGAGAGAGCCATGAGGAAGGGGAGCTGGGTTTTGCTTCTCGAACCCAATAGCATCTTCCAGCAAGGAACAATCAGGATGTCAGCCATATAATCACAAGAAAGTCCGTTCTGTCAACAACCTGAATGAGCTTAGAAGCCAGCTCTTCCCTAAGGAAGCTTCCAGAGGAGAATGCAGACCAGGACAACCCCTTGACTGTAGCCACGTGACACCTTGAACAGACAACTCAGCAAGCATGCCCAGACTCCTGACTCATGGAAGCCAGGAAATAATGCATGTACATTGTTTTAAACTGCTAAGTAGGTAGTACTTTGTTATGCAGCCATAGGTGACCAACAAATCATACTCTTTTCTTGGCCTGCATTATGTCTGCGCTCTATTCGGTTGTGTATACCACTAAACAGTTCTTCAAGAATCAGCCTGAATACCACTTCCTCCGTGAATCATTTTATTGTTAACCCCATTGGTTGATTATACCTGCTCTTGTCTTCTCCAAGTGGTTTCTACATGTCTTTACTAATACTGATCAGGCCATACTGAAATGTGATTTGACATATCTCCTTCTTTCTATGAACAATGACTTCCTTGAGAGATCTTATGTCTAAGCCAGCACTAAGTATATGCATTTGAAAACCTAAAATCATAAATTAATATTAAATCCGGTGATCAATGTCACTTGGTATGTTTATCAGCACATGTCATGGCTTCTCAGTGCACTTCGAACTACCTGTTTATATCTAAGAGTTTCCTGCTTCAAATAAAAAGGGAAATGGAATTCCTTGAGAAGGACAGATAACAAATTGGAAAAGTAGTAAAAATCAGGAAAAAGAGTCAGGGTTTCATTGTAAAGGCTGATTTTTAGAAAATGGTAGTTGAATGTGAGCATAGTAGTTTCAAGTGTGACTTGATCTTGATGAGAATGACTTCTAAATTTTACAGTTACTCTGAAAAGAAATAAAATGAGATGAATTAAAATGGAAAGAAAAGGAAGAAGAAGAAAATTGTTACCTATATCCTGAGTTCTGACACAATATGAAGGATGATGGTTTCATAGTTTCTGGCCTAGCACAAGTGAAGTACGTTTCAAAATCTGTATAACAGATGATTAGATTAAAAGGAGATGCTGTGTACTAAAAGCCTAAGCTAAGTATGAAGAGTCTGATACATGTATGCTGTGAAGATTGGTAGACTGGATTTATACATATCCACCACCCTCCAGAGAAACAGGGCAAATATTTGGCCACTCCCACTGCTGGCAAGGCTTTTAAATGCTCTAATAACCCATGCCATATAGTCTATCATTGTAGTGCAGAAGAATTCCCTCTATTCAGAGCCTCTTAATATAATCAGCCATGTAAAATGCAAAATCTAAAATCTCTAGAACTGACAGAATGTTGGTAGAGTTGTCCACCATGACGGTCTCATACAGTCTAAGTGATTTATCCTCAAATCAAGGATTTAATTTTATTAACAGAAGGAGAATGAAAAAATACCTTCAGCAATGGCATATTCAAAGGCTTTATGCCACATCTTACTTCTAGTTATATTAACTCACATCCACATAGATATTTTGAAAGTCATGAAACTATAAATCAGGTATCAATACATGCATTTTTCAGAGTGATTATTTTTTGCCCACAGTTGCAGAGCTAGTAAGTGGCAAAGCAGAACATACCTCTTCAGAACGGTTTCTGAGATCTTTTACTATGTTGTGATTGATCATGTGCCAGTCAATCAGCATGCCAGCCTCCGTCCACCCCTTCATGTGAAGCAGGAAGAATAACCATGGAGACATCTTCTGCTATTTCCGTACAGCCAGGCTTTCGGAAGCAAAGGCCAAAGTTGCATAATATCTTTGGGAGAAGTGTCAAGCTATTTGTTAGTCCTTAATGTCTAGGAAGGTAACTTCTAAAAACATAAGAAAAACAAAAAACAAAGGAAGCAGAAGGAGATCTGTATTAAGGGATTTCTAGTCTTGTCACGGCCAGCTCTGAAACTGGATGTATGACTTACCACTCCTGTCTCAATTTCAAAACTGGGTTAATTTTTCCTTCCTGACTATATCCAGAACAATTGTGAAAACCTGATGGTATAATATGGATGATACTTATTTGAAAACTACATTATGCCTAAGAAATAAATATATGCTACTTTCCACCACATATAGAAGTCATTTCTAAGTAGGTGAGTTGACTGTTCAGCAAAATTCCTTGAATAATCATGTAAAAAACAGATTGCTAAAACTCTTTCTTGTACTCACTAACATAGACCATTCTGTTTTATGCTTCATAAAATATTAATTTCACTTATCCTTTAAAGGGTCAGAATTAATCAGTAACAAAAGAAAAAAAAATGAAGTGTGTGTCTTTGGTTGTATTTCTCCATATGGAGGACCAGATGGCCCTCCCTTAACTTACTGAGATTGATGAAGTACAGAAAACATGAAAAAAAATTTTCTTTCAATATTTTTAAATTAAAAATTATATATATAATGACATAAAGTATTTATTAATTTATACATCTATCTATATATGTATATATAGAAAGAGAGAGTCTCTATGTTTGCTGGCCTTGGAGATGAAGGAAGGCCATGCTCTAAGGCCTGTGATAGCCTCTGGAAGCTGGGAGTGGCCCTCAGTCATTAGTCAGCAAGAAACCAGAGCCTTTA